ACAGGTTATACCGAATGTCCATAGGTGGAAGAAATCCATTGATAATATTGGTGATACTAGTATTTTTCAAAAGAATTTTAATCGTGGTGGGCTTTGCCTTCGTAAGTTAATGCACTGAAAAATGTATAATTTAGCATGTATTCGTGTAATAAACACTAGCTGGCAAAATATGCACTCAAAATTCAGAAATATTCATTTATAGGCATTAACATTTTTAAATTATGCATCTAAAATATGCATAGAACAAAAAAATCATTGGCAAATTTTAAATTAATACAATATATCTATTTTTATCCGAATTTAATTTTTTTTAAATTTTTACACATTTTATAAAACCCAAAACCTAACTGTACAGCTAAACACTTTTTTGTCATCATTATGTTGTTATTATATTATTATTATTATTAAATCTGTACCTAGTATATTATACAACCTGAGGTCGTACGAGAGTAATAAAGTCGAAACAAATACTACAATTTTGTAAATTGAAAAGTAAATAAGAAACAAAAAAAAATTCAAATATTCATTTGTTTAAACATATGCATTTATAAAAAAATATGCGCTAGTAACTCTAAAAATCTAGTATATGCCAGAAAATGACTTTTATACCCAAAATATTCAAAAACATGCACTATTAAATTTTATATATTAAATTGTATTACTATTGTTATGAAACGAATGTGTATCTCAGTTAGCATGTTTTTCTGTGTTGCAAGAAAAACATGCCAATGCTTGAACTTATGAGTCCTGACAATAAACTTGGACTTTAAGCTTGACGGACTATTGTGGGGCTTAGCCCACTAAGCCCCCCCCCCCCCCACTATATCCACCTATGCGAATGCGTATTATTATAATAATAAAATGAATAGCTATAATTATTCACATTAATATATTTGAATTGCGAAATAAAAATCGCTAGGAAAGAAAATCTCCAGGAAAACCCCCAACAAGAACCCCGAAAAAAAATCCTCAGACTATACAATTTTTCTCACAAACTCATGCAAATTATTGAACAAAGATTTTTTTAAACTCTAATTAGTATAATTAAAAACATTATTAATATTTAATTACAAATATATACTTATAGAGGAGACTTAAAATGTAGAAAATGCACAATTTGTATAACTAAGGATTGAAAATTGAAAATAATACGTTTCCTATAATATTTTGACGATAACGTAAATATAATATTATTAGACAGTGATTTTTCAAGTTGTACCTAGGTTAAAATATTACAAAATAAAAATAATAATTAGACAACAGTTGATGAATGTATTGACAAATGCACTATAACATAATGCTAAAGTTAAAAATATAGCATATAAAAATATTTCGTATACGTCAAATAACACAAACAATAATAATAATAATAATAATACAATTATATTAAATTATATAAATGTATAGGTACTCACAGTTAAAAACATACCATAATAATGTACAAATATTTGGAATGATCGATATACGTCTAATAGTTAAAAACAATTACCTTATATTATAGAATCTATAGATAATATAGATTATCAAAGGTGCACATATCTGTACTACTGTTACCTATTGTCGTGTATTACACAGTACACGACAATAAGTAACATTTGAAGATTTTATGTGGTATGTCGTACATAATTAGCGTACATATTATTAGCGTCAAAATGTTGTAGAAAAAGTAAAAAAAATTATTTTAGAAATTTAATTTAACAGAATTATACATAATATCGCAGTACAAAACAAAATATAATTAGTATATATACATTTTATGTTTGTTATTAAATATTAATAATGGTGGTAATTAGTCATCTCGCTAATAAAAATATTTTTTTAATAATTTGCATTCGTTTGTGAGAAAAATGTCGTAGTCTAGGAATTTTTTTTCAAGGTTCTTGGTCGGGAGATTTTTCTGAGGATTATATTCCCGTGGATTTTTATTCCGATTACCACATACTTATATTAATATATGATGATAAGCTGACAGGTCTTCTCCACTCAGAAATATTATTTGTATATTGTATGGAATCATATTTTATCATTAAATTCAAATTTAACACATCCATTATAGTGACTTCAAGGACGAGGTTCACTCCACTGTACAGCAGAGCGGTTTCCTACTTTCTACCATTTTGAATGTATGTAATGAATGTATTGATTTTACAATGACGTATTGACGTGACGTGATGTTGTCTTTTTGTGTCTGTTCACAGAATAAGCTACATGGTCATAAAAATACTTAGATTTTAAACTTTACTACTTTTTCCGGTAGGAAAGTAAATCTAGTTGGTGGATTCGGGAAGTCAAAATCTAAAAAGTCAAAATTTAAAACTCACAGTAATTTTCAAAAACCCAGGAAAAAAACAAAAAGCAATTTCGGTAAGACGGAATTTATACTCAAAATCGGTTCTCGACTAAATAATTTTCGGATTTTGCTGTAACTCTAAAATAATTACACTGCATACATACGATTTGTACTCAATATTTGTATTAGCAAATTCTATAGGTACACAATTCAATATTCAGAACATTATGATTCATGTTAAACTATTTATAGGTAAATAAAATTTTCGATTTTCGATTTTTATTAGTTTTTTTTATAATTAATATCGATAAAAATAATTTTGCTGTGTCGAAAAAATTGAAAATGTAATACAAGGTTCCTTATAATGTGTTGTACGTAAAAATGTTAAAAAAGCTGAGCTTAAATTCATAATCATTTTTTGTGAGCGTCCGAACTCTGAAGTTCGGATTTTGATAAAGTACGTAAAAATCACGAAAATATGCAAATTATTTTAAATTAGAAATTCATGAAAATTTTTCTTTTTAAACCTAAGACTTTAAACATTGAATACAAGAGTCCTTATAAATCTGTCTACCTTTATCAAAAAAAAAAAATGTCTACTGCAAAGTCAAATTAAATTTTTATGAGTGCTTGAAGTTGCAATTTTTACTACATTGGATATTCCCTCGATTTCACATGGAACGATTTTCTTATTTTGTTGTAATTCAAAGACAAAAACAGTAGATACTTGAAATGTACACCATATGTTTACTTTATCATTTCGACATAAACTGACTCGTTTTGAGCTGTTTACGGGAGTGTTCAATTTTCAATTTTTTTAGTTATTTTTCTATAAATGTCAATTTATTTTGCATCCAAATCATGACAATTTAATAGAAGGGCCGTGATAAATTGTTAAAATAGCTGTTGAAGCAATTAAATATTAAATTTAGACAACATTTATTAAATTCAAAATGTAAAAATTATTTTGTAGTTCAAAATTTATAAAATGTTCAACTTGTATAGCCAAGGATTGAAACCTAAAAACTAAGTTTCACATAAAAAGATAATTCTGCAACCAACAAATCTTAAAGATTTGTTTTATATTTTTGATCCTTAGCTATAAAAGTTGAACAGCTTATAAATATTTAACTACAAAAGAATTTGTACATTTTCAATTTGATCTGAACTTTAAATGTTTATAAAACAAAATCATATCTATTTATTTTTAATATTTTTCAACTGATATTGCGAAAATATATCAGAAACCTTGCATTAGTTTTTGACCCAATAGATATAATTTTATTGACATATATAAAAAAAAAAAAACTAAAAAAATTTAAAATGTTGTCAAGTGTATGAATAAAATTTATAAAATAAACATATGGTGTCAATTTCAATTATGTACAGTTATTCGTTTTTTAATGACAGCAAAATAAAAGATCACTACATGCGAAATCGAGTGAATCCAATGTTGTACAATTTTTAATTTCAACCACTCGTAAAAAATGAATTAGACTTTACAATAAACTTTTTTTGTTTAAGGTTTAAAGAAAACTAATTGGAAATCTCATAATAAATTTTCAAATCTTAGATAAAAATAAACAATAATTTATGCATACTTCAAATAATTTGCAATTATTCATAATTTTTAACGAATTTAGTCAAAATTATAAGTTTGGAAGCTCATAAAAACTTACTACGGATTTACACTCAACTTTTTTTTTAATTTCTATTAACAAAAATTCATGAAGAGCCTTGCATTCAATTTTCAATTATTTTAACCTAGAACATATTTTTATCAAAATAATTTTTTAGAAAACCATCAAAAATCGAAATTTTCTTATAGCTAAAGAAATAAATTATTTTGAAAATTTAATAGTGTAGGAATATAAAATTATAAAATATCAATGTACAACAATTGTATTTTTATTCATTATTATACACCTCTACTTCTTTATATTAATCTATACTTCGATGTATAGGTATGTGTGGATTTCTACCTACAATATTACTACTCTACTAATTAGTAATTAATCACTATGATTAAATTTGAGTCCTATAATAAATAAATTAAATTTAAATAAAAACAAAATGCGGTGTTTAAATGTATATTATGTGACAATGATAATATCATTGCGTTTTGTTCGTAGGTATACACACACCTACGACATGTCGACATATATATTGTATATAGTAGATAGGTACATGTGTCATGTGTGTACCAAAAAGTCGATGTGGACTACATTAAACTACTTAATTTATAAACATATGTATGTATGACATATAGGTGTATTTATATTTATAATAATATAGTTATTATATTATCGTAATAACTAATAACTAAACATAGTAGTATATACGACGGATGGACGGAAAAACACAGACCACGAAAGACTGGAAATATTCTTAGTGACGTTTTCTAAATGTATTCACGAAAACTGTGATCAACTGTTGAGACACTATGAAGTAGGGGTTTCACTACTCCCAAGGCGATTTTTTTCACAAAAACGTATGAAATTGTAAGAAATAAAAATCAAAAATATTCTAGGTAGTTAATTGTTTTCATCTATTTTCACCAATTGAAGAATTACGAAGTTAGGTTACCTAATCGGTAATCGGTTACCTAATCGATAGGTACCTAATACCTATTATATGTTTATCAATGAACAATATTATATTATTTGTTTACATATTATTATAATATATTATGCTACGATCACCAGAAAAACATTTTTTGTTTTTAAAACTCTGCATAATATACATGTACCATGTACGGACATGGGACGTCACATATTAAGTATGTGAATTTAGCAAATAAATACGTAAACGTAAGGCGTTCACTCCCAAAAACATAACCAGCTTCCAGTGGCAAACGCAGGGGTGGGGGGTGTACCCCCCCCCGAAATTAGTGTAGTAAATAATGTAGAACAGCGTGAATAGTATGACATTTATGAATTTTTTTATTTGTTCACCCCCTCCCACCCCATAATTTTTTTCTGCATTCGCCCCTGCCTTCTGCTATGATTTATATCGAGTTTCGAAACGTTTGTATAATTAATGCATCAGGCAATATTATTAAATATGACCGGACAAAGAGAGATTTAGAGAAATAAAGTTCAAGAGTAATTTGGTGAGTGGTACGATGATATTTTCAGTATCGACATTATCGGCTCCATCTCGTCAGCATGTAGGTACAATGGTGATTTTTTAGTTTTGTCACATTGGTAGGTATACGCTATTGCGCAGATTTTGAGGACCGATTTTAAATTTTTGCGGACGACTAGTTTTTTCACGAGTTAAAAAACACTTACTTCAATTTTTAGAATGCAATTATTTTGGGGATTATTCGAATTAGCCGAATGGATAGAGTACTGGATACGATATGGTGGATCGGTGACGGGAAGCCGGCTCGCAAATACAATACACTTCTTTTCCGAGTAAATAGGTAAAATGCACGCTATCTGCTTGATAAAATATCAACTTGCCTAGCGCCCTTTATAGTTAGGTACAACGTCAACAATTCCACCACGAAATTAAAATTGACTACGTGGAGGGTTGAGTGTTGTTTCCAAGAACTGACAACAGCTCAACTGCCAAACCATATTGGTTACCAGCCATGACCATATAGTTACCACGCCCTCGCACGACACGTAGGCACAATCCGACATTATAAAATCTTATCTTCCGAGACCGTAGTCGTTTCGGGGTTGTTTAATGATAACATTACATTGTTACGTATTCTATAGTCCATATCGATTTCTAAGTTCTTGTTGATCGAACAACACGATAATTAATACTAAAAGATACAATCAATTAACTATTTTTTCGTCAGAAATTATTGCAAGATGTCACGTGAAATCCCGATTCCACCTCTAACTGGAACATTTAAAGTACCTACATTGTTAAAATTATATCTTTATTACCTAATTATTGTCTAACAAAATTAATATCGTTCTTCGTTTTTCCACAGAGAAGACTTCTAAATGAATTAGCAATCTTTAATCAGAGAACGCCACCAAGAATGTCTCTAGATGGTCCCCTGCAAGACGAACGACATTTCAAAGTGTTAGTAAAAAAATCATTGCTTGCGCAGTTGTGCGTTTAATCAATATATGATAATGTATATTATAATATAACATAAATGTTTATATTTTATGTCATCTGTGTCCTGTGATAATACTACCTATTAAATTTTCAAGTTTTCGTAGATACCTAAATACCTTTTAATTTTAAAATGAATTGGTTTCAATTATATTTTTTGTAATATTACCTATAATATACATTTTATTTAGATATTATGGCTATTATGCAGATCTAATATCAGTTTATATATTAGTATATTACTAATTCTGCAACTGAAATTGGGTTATAAATCCTCTACAATTCTAAACATTTAGTATTAGGTACCTATACAAACTATTGAAGAGGACGTGATACCTGCATGTGTTGTCTCTGTCTTACAAGTGCGTAACATAATAAATTTTACGCTCAGCAGGATACGTGTAGCTCCGTTAGTTTAAAAATTAGTGCGAATTGACCTCTTATAAAATCTAAAGGTAAGATTATTATCTAGTCAACCTCATAGGTTTTTTATTATATTTTAACTTTAACGCGAGTTATAAGTATTTTAAAATTGTAAATTTTTATACATCTTAAAATACTTATAACTCGCTTTAAAATAAAAATATAATAAAATGCCTATGAGGTTGCCTAGATAATAATCTTACCTTTAGATTTTATAAGAGGTCAATTCAATTTAATTTTTAAATTAACGGAGCTACACGTGTTCTTCTGAGTGTACAATTTGCTATGTTACGCACTTGTAAGATGGAGACAACACATGCGGGTATCACGTCCTCTTAATTTAATTAACAATCTAATATTTTAGAGGCTAGTATATCTTATTCTTATCGTTATATGCAGACAATGCCTGACATGATAAAGATATATTCCAAATTCCAATTAATGAAAGTTATTTCTCGGTTATTTCATCGAATAATAAGTTTTGAAGAAAAAATAAACTTTTAATTACAATTTTTTAAACGTAACTATCATTAATTGAATAGTAACATTATTTTAAGTACAACTACTTAGTGATAGATTATTTTTTGGTATTTTTTTTTATCAAATTCAGTTGGTTTTGCAAAAACAAATGTTAATTTAATAATTTGTACATAGAATTTCAAAAATATTTTATGGCTATCTAATGTTTAATTTTACTTTTTAGTTTCTATGTAAATGTGCAAGGTACTGAAGGTACTTTATGTGATGGAGAAAAGTTTAAGTTGCAGTTCAAATACAACTATTTATATCCTATTGAGCCGCCTATAGTAAACAATTTATTTTTTTTATTTTTTATTTTAATTTATATTGCAAGAAGATAATGAGCCCAACTAAACATGTTTGTTTATAAATATATTATAGTATTTAATTTATGTACTTATGTATTTTTAAGGTTTCATTTGTAGGCGAAAACATCCCAGTTCATCCTCAAGTGGAAAGAAATGGGCGTATATGTTTATCAATTCTTACTAGTGACTGGACAATAGAATTCACTGTTCATTCGATCTGCCTTTTAATTCTGAATTTACTACGGAGCTCAGAAGAAAAGGTGATATAACAAAAATTATAGAAATAACTATATCATATTCTGCAAAGTTTAAACGAATTTTAATTAGTGACATAGATTACATTACCCACAAAATGTTGATGTACATATTACTAGATTTTTTTTTAAGTTTTAAGTATATTTTTTTGTTTATGCAGCTATGTAGGGGTAGGAAATGTGCATAGGTACATGATCATTAAAGTTTATTTATTATTTTGTTTATAAAAACATTTTTTGGAATAGGTAATATTATAATCAGCTGTTTATTTGGAAATGTTATTAAATGATGATTTTTTCAGAAAAATAACAATACATTCTCAATGATAAAAACTAATTTTTGAATGAAAACTTTTTTTTTTATTGATCATTTTGAACCTGTGCGTGAGTGGAATAGTAAGAAGTAGATACTTATGGATGAATCATAATCCTGTTTGTTCAGGAGTAAAATAAATATACACATTGAGATTATTAGAATATTGCAAAAAAATAGCATCAATAAGGAGACAACAGCATGTACTTACTTGTTGCTGCATTTTGTGAAAGCTAATAACATTTTAAGTGCATTTAGGTGGAATATTTCTATATTTAATGAATAAAAATAAATCATATTTTAAAGTTTTTTAGGATATAAAAGTATGAACTTATAAGTCATGTGTTAGTGCACATTTATAGCTAGTGTTTAAATCTATCTATTTATACTCATTTATATAAATTAAAAATACTTGTGAGCACTTAATCATTTATATTATAATGTGTTTGTGATAGAATGTATGATCTCAAAAATATAATATCTATCTGTGAACACAATATATGGTAAAGCAAAAATAATTTGTAATATATTTAACAGGGAATACTCGAAGATTATACTGAATTAAAAACTGGCAAAAAAATAAGAAAATGATTTCTTTACTATGGTAAGTGAATAATGTTCCATACTAAAATTAAGATTCTGTACTTATTTGTGGTTCAAATTATTATTTTTTAGATGGTTGTGTGCAGTTATAAAAATCAATTCAATTATTTTTCATTCTTCAAGAAGACAATTGGCTCCACTGAACATACCCGTAATATATTCTTATTGAGTGAAAATTGTATACATATATTTAATGCAATTAAATGTACTCATTTAAACACATTCATTAATTGTACCCAGATCTTTTTAATTGTAGATTTGTTCATTATAAATACCTAAATATAATTGCCTTTTGATTATTATGCACTGTGGTAATTAATATAACATAATGTACTATTTTTTTTTTAAGTAGAGTATTGTACAACAGCGTTTCTCAATAGGAGGTTACCAACTAAAGTTAGGAATCTCATGTCTAAGCCTTGCAAACTCTATTAACCCAAACATAGACAATATCATCTCAAATAATCACCAATAATATAACCAAATAGAATCGTAGTTCAAGAACAATTATTACATAAATCTTACTTTTGGTGGAGATAACAAATGTCTTCGTAGCATCCTCTTGAGTGACTACTCACTTGGCGATTAATTGTGAGCGTCCCTCTATTCAGAAATGCGGCAATTGATTGTGCAAAATAAAATACATTAGTATCCTAGTATGAAAGCTACATAACCTTGTTGGGAGATGTTAGTCGCATGTTAGACCTTCAAATGTAGGGGGACTCTATACATTTAAGACATTTTGTCTAAAACTGTCATATGGTAGAGAAGGCGACCATCTAGTCTAAGCGAAATCATATTATACAAAACATATAATACTGAATTTTATTATTTAGACCCATTTATTTAAAAATTCAAAACTGTACTTAGTAAAATACTTTAAATTATTAAGTATAAAACCCTGTCAGAAATTATCAAAAAAATAAATAAATAGGTTATACATTATAATTATTTATCTGATACAAAATGAAGTATAATAAAAGTACAATAAAATCAAATGAAATCAAAGTTATGCATAAATGTTCCTACTCAGGTGTGTGATTTTTATCATTTGCATTTTTCATTATTAAAGTATCATCTTCAACTTTGTTGTCAGAAAGTTCAGATTTTACACTACTTATGCACTTTTTGGTGATTACTCAGTGCAACTTTTCGTGAAAATAGTCTGTTGCACACAGAACAAATGTAACTAATATCTTCATGTCTAAACAAAATAAAAATAGATTAACTTTTTAACATCATGTTTAATAATAATTGACAAAAAAATAAGACTTGATAAACTATTACTTTGGAGTTGGTGTAGGTTTATTTTTATTAGATGATCCACTGCAATTCTTCAAATGCAAATAAACAGCTTCTTGGCTCAATACACATCTTGTGCATGTTTTGCAAACCCATACAGTACGATTATCGGGAAGTACCTTATCAAACTGCTTCATAGTTGGTGGGCAAAATGGTTTGGTGGAACCAACCTTCTTTCTTTGTGTTTGCGACATACAGTTAACAAATTAATTCTTTATGGTATGGGAATTCTGTTGACAAAAGTTAAAAGTATTAAAAATAAAATAATAGCCTAAATCAATATTTTTATGGAACACTATTTAAACATTAAAAACAATATTATAAATAGCCGTCAACTAGGTAATCACTAATCGCTCTAGTGTACAATAGGTGCAGAGTATTGAGTAGGCTACTACTCATTGCAATGGATGTTTTTATCACATAATGGTCTTTTTCCAGAACCAAAAATTAGCAGATCCCTCATATTGCGTAAAATACTATTGTGGGAAAATTCAAAAAATAAAAGTTGTCAACACAGCAAGTTGTGTGCCATTAATGTAGGAAAATAATTTAATTTGTATATCTGCTTTTATTAACTTTGCATTTTGGGAAGATACAATATAATATCTAGAAACACTAAGTTTGGTTCAAAGTTTAGATCTTATAGAAAAGCTGTAAAAATATTGAAATATTCCAATAATGGTATAGAATAAGGTAGTTTACTGCAATTATGAAGGAGGTATCATAGTTTTACTATAATATAGGTTAATTGTATTATTCTCATAATATACCATAGGTTTAAAATATATTTATATATCTAGGCAGGGCCCCCAAAAATGGGGGCTAATGGCCCTTGAATACAGGGGCCCGTTGAAATTGATTTGTTATTTTTGAAATTTTTGTAGAAATACTTATTTTATATTAAATAATATTGTAAAATAACATTTTATGAAATATATATATATATTTTTTAAATATACCAATTCAAATTCAATATTCATAGTTAAGGCAGGACAACATCTGTCAGGTCAACAAGTAAACTTTAAAAAATCAAGATTTATAAGCATTTTAACATTAATAATGTCTATAAATTAAAAAAAAATTTTAAAAATAAAAGGTAGGTATAATAATCTAATCTCGCTTACAAGTGATAAATAAGACACAAACTGCAACCATGATAATTTCTAGGTAGTCAATGGTTAACCTACATTTTGAAGAATCAAAATTACTAAATATATATATTATAAATCTGCCTTAACTATGAATATTGAATTTGAATTGGTGTATTTAAAAAAAAAATATTATTCCAAAAATTGTTACATATATAGATGGAAAAGGCCAGCACACACTCGAGGCAGTGACGGTAAAATGCACACAATTTACTAATTAAATGCTACCGAGTGCCAAAACTGAAGGCTATAGAATTTCACCGCTGTAGTATGTGGAGACTGCATAGTGTATACCACTAGTTTGTATACAATATTAAATTAGAAAATTAGCTTTTTAAGACTGAATATTGGATGGGCACTCAAGTGATTCGCTGACTTCCTAATATAAAGAAGTCCTTATAGTGTATAGGCACGTTGATTAATGCATACATATAATTTCATTACACATTTTGTCTGGCGTTGTACAGAACCAATCACACAATGTTTACAGTTGTCATTGTTTTGGGTAGGTAGGTAATGCAAAGTAATAATGAAAATGTAAATGTAAATGTAAATATGAAATATAAAATCAAGATAATTTTCATCAGACGAGTATGAATAAACGCCAATAGGCGAGTAATGAGAATTCAATGTGCCTAGTACCTACTAACCTGTAGGTATTGTACATTGTATTGTATATTATACAGTATTCGTCAATGTCAGAGATCATGCAATATTGTTACATTTATTATCTAAGTACTTACAAAGTTTGGCTTCGTAACTGGCGGAAGAGTTCGGGAAATGGCAGATCAATATTTACGAAAACAGCAGACTAACAACAACCATCGAGATTCTGAGTGGCAGGTAGAATTAGTCGAAACAATCCAATAGGCGAATCTCATTTTCGGCGGGCTATGGAAAAAAGTAAAAACACAATAAACAACGTGTGTCGGACGTCGGTTACTGTGCCTCGCTCGGGTAACAGGTAGGAGTAAAGGATTACCAGAATAATTCACTTAAAGCTCAGTGTAGCCATTCGAATCACTTTTCCATGACAATGACCAATTTTTAGTCATTAATAATTAATAAATACCATGTATTTAATGTTAATTCGTCATTGTTAATATTATTCAAAGTTGGATATTACAGAACTTTCAAATCGTAATTTCATATTAACATATTGTCATATACTTGCAGTTGGCGTTACAGTACGAATTGTGCGATATTGTTTTCAATTTATCACACAGTTCTCTATATTATATATATATATTATTATTAAATTACACGTATATATATATTAGTTATATATATATATATGTGTGTGTAAATTATTACTGTTAATACGTTATACACTGCATTAAACGGACATTTTTGATATATTATCAATATATTATTATAGTTTACGCCTTTGCGGTTCCCGGCTTTTGTGAAATCGTACAGAATACAGATCGGTAACCCATCGTTAGGATCACGAACGGCTCGGCCCTTTCTACCTCGACGTTCCGTCTTTGGCATTTTTCCCGAGCGTAAGTAATATGGAGTCGACGTGGCGTGTTTTGTCGTCACTTGTCATGTCGTTCGTGGCTTTGGCGTCTGTTATCGTGTAATACGATTTCGACATTATCATTGTTATTGTTTTAACAATACACGTCGATATACGGGGATTCGACACCGTCATTTTCTGTTTTTGTCTAACACACGCGTGACATAGTAAAATAGAAATATACCTCAAAATGTATTTGTTAACTATTAACAGTATAATATTATAATTGTATTGCATTCAATAAAGGTCAAATGAAAATAAATAAATAGGTATGTAATATGATAAAAATATTGTCTTAACTTAAATTTTTTTGAAGATTCAATTAAAGTTGTGGCGTTCTCTTAAGTAGTAGTATACAGTGTTGATAAAAAACATTTAATGTATCAAATAACATTTTGTGTATTTGACTTTAATTACCTACAAGTAAAAATACCATACACCTCTTGTTATCCTACAGACACTGGTAGTATTATAGCTATCCCATTAATACTAGTTGTATAATTACTAACTGGATTTAAATGTATATGGTATCTAGGAGACTCTGGATATGCACTTAGACCTTGGCTTTTAACACCAATTCAAAACCAGGCAAACGCAAATAAGGAACTGTATAATAAAAAAGAAATGCATACTAGAAGTTTAGTTGAAAGGTGTAATGGGTTGCTAAAAATGAGGTTTAGGTATGGTATTAATTTTTCAAATAATTAGTTCCTATAACCTATGATCAGAATTTAGCATAATAATTTATTTAAGGTGCCTACTGAAACATAGAGTTCTACACTATACATCTGAAAAAGCTTGTGTAGTATTGCACAATATGTGTATAACATACAATGAGCCTGAGCCTGTAGACAATGTGATTGACATTGATTTTGGTATGTATGGAAATAACACTGGTCAACATGAAAATGATTCTTCCAATGATTTGGATAATGGAAGGCGTGTGCGTGCATGTGTTGTACGCAATTTCGGGCAAAATGAGCAATAGTCTGTTTTTAATTCAGAGAAAATAAATTTAAACTTTTTTTAATAATTGATATCCTGTTTAAAATATTTTATTTTATAATTCTAGGACATATTTTAATTATTTAATTTTAACCATAAGTTAGAGAAGTTAGTAGCACTACCTATATTAAGCACCGCATTGGTAGGATAGAGTGAATAATGTTAGAAGGAATTATAAACATAAAAGGGGAATAAGAAATGTGTAAAAAAAAAAATATATTTTAATATGGTGAATTGTGATTGAAAATAATGGAAGTTGTGGAAAGGAAACCATTGCTATTATGCTAGAAAAATAAACAAATAAACAAAATATTATATGTTTACCAATACTTGTAAAATAATAAAAAGTAATGCATATAATAGGTATATAATATCATTTAACTAAATCTATCTTATGTACATTAAATAAAAAATGAAGAAAGCCAATCAAACTTCACATCATGTGTATTATCTTCAGCATCCCATTGCTTTAAAAATGCTGTACTTAATTAAAAAATGGTCAACTTTTAACTTATAAAGTCTTAAAAGAACCTTGTTTATAGGTTAACATTTAAAATCTCTATTGCTATTAATTATTTTATCACATTTATGTTTAGTTAGATAGTTTTTAATTAAATGATATAATACACACACACATACTATGTAAGATTTATTAATTAATATAATTTTAAAATCTAGTTAAACAGTAACTACATATTAAAAGAAAATAAGATATTATGAGATAATTGCAGATGCAGATCTATACAATATTAAACAAATGCAGTCTAGACATTTATAGAAAACTGCGTTTATAAGATTTAAATATATTAAGAAATATAGAAAGATAACTTTGAACTAGATCTGTTCCTGGGGTGCGTTCGAATATGAAAAGTTAGAGTAGAGTACGTTTAGTTAGAGTAGAGTAGGGTTAGAGTAGAGTAGAGTAGAGTTTACCAGCAGTACTCTAAACCATATTACTCCGAATAACCGAACGATATATTGTTATCAATTTTTTCGTACAGATAAATGATAAGCCATATCATATTCATTTTTAAAATAAGAAAATCAATTTTAATTTTAATTTAGTCGTAAAAATATATACTAAACTACTACGTCCTGTCCTATTGTTTATCGACCAGTTATTAATTATTATACAAAACAATCAATTAGGTATTTCAAGATGAGCCACGAGAAAACAGAACTATTTGTTATGTTAGATTCAATGGGGAAAGCATTGAACAATGAACTAAGAAGAAAAATCGTTCTTGTAAGATAAACATTTATAATAATACATTTGTAATAAAATTGTGTTAATTAATAGTTTATTATATAATTTGTTTATAGATTGACATTGATAGTTCAGATGATGAATTTGATTGTGAATTTATCAATCGATTACGGGGTAATAGAAAAAAACCATTTAGAGTGCAAGATTTTCTCTCTCAGACAATTCCAAATTTTACAAATAAACAATTTCAACAGCACTTTAGATTATCACCAACCTCGTTTGAAAGGTGTTTACAAATTTGTGCTCCCCTTCTACAGAAAACTAGTGTAGAAGGACGTAAAGGTTCGGACGAGAGGCTTCAACTATTGTCAGTTATTTGGTTACTGGCTACACCAGATAGTTTTCGGTTTGTTTAAAGAATTAAATACCTTATAAAATTAGACAGTTTTATCCTACTAAAATATGTCATAGTATTATTTTCTACTCTTAAAACCAATTGTCTATATGCTCCTGTATAATTATCAATTTATTTTTGATAAAATGACAATATCCTCCATATTTATACATGATTACTAAAATAAAATTTGTATTTAATTTTTAGATCAGTTTCTGACAGATTTGATATTGGTAAAAGTTCCCTGCATGATAATTTTGTCCGTGTAACTACTGTTTTACATAGATTATCCCCAACAGTTATTAATTGGCCCACAGTTGAACAAATGCATCAAATTCAACTTAATTTTGGTAAGATGTCGAAGACTTGTCTGAACAATATAATAGGTGTTATTGATGGATCTTATATTCCAATACCTGCACCTAAGAAGTCAGCTAATTCTTATCTCACAAGAAAATGTTTTCATGCAATAACATTGCAAGCAGTATGTGATGATAAATTGAGAATCATTGATGCATTTGCTGGTTATCCTGGATCTGTAGGTGATAGAAGAATATTCACAAACTCTTTAATTTATGAACGAATTTTGCAAAACAAAAATAGGTGAATATATTAATTACATTAATCAAGTGTACATCATTGTACCTACTTAATATATTATATAAATAATGGTATTTTAATTAGATATGCTCCAGGTCAATATTTCATTGCTGCAGATAAGGCATATCCAATACTCGAATGGTGCATTCCACCATATATTGATCGAGGTAACCTTTCTGAACAAGAAAAGTTTTTTAATGTTTCATTGTCACGTGCTAGGCAGTCCATTGAAAGATGCTTTGCACTGTTAAAAGGTATTTCATTTTTTATTCATTATGAATTAAAAATAACAATATAATAAACATTTATATTTTCAATGATATAGGTCGTTTTAGACGTTTGAAGTATTTAGATATGAAAAAAGTAGAACTGGTTCCACAAACTATAATTGCTTGTTGTGTGTTGCATAATATTTGTTTGCAATTTGATGATAATCAATGGATGAATAATTTGATTTCCGAACAACAACCTAATATTGGTGACGATATTACTACTGATCAATTAACTTGTTACATAGAAAATACGCAGTCTGGCTGCATGAAAAGAGACCAAATTATGGTTTCTTTAACTTAATATATTTATTTATTTGTTTTGATTTGGTATTTGAGCTTTGGCAATTATAACTATCCTAAAATATTGCCTATCAATAACAATAACGTTAAACAATGTAATAACATACCTTTGTTACTTTAATAAAAAAATCTGTTAACAACAAATGTATAATGCTAATAATAATAAATTTTATATTATATAAAAATAATAAAAACTTAATAAATATGAATATATTAACAATTGTATACTGTAATAGTAGGAACATTTATAACAAACTTATTATAACTTAAAAATATTATTTGGTAGAATTATTTTTATAAATGGTTAGGAACTGATCCATGGTATTTTTATATGCTTCTAAAGCATCCTGTTGAAGTTGCAATGATTTATTCTGTAGTTCCATCATTTCAATGTGTCTTTTTTCTCGGTTTTCCTCTTTCTTTTCAATTAACAAATGCATAGTATTTATGGAGTCTGTCTTTTTTTTTTTTGCTTTAGGCATGTCTTCGGTAATATTGTCATCATAAATTGTAGCATTTTCTTCTACAATAAAATTCCCTGCTAATGCCACTGGACTGATAGAGGGTTCATCTTTGTAAATTTTATCAAATTCATCTTAAAATTCAAAATGAAATGCACTTTGTCCAGAACTAGTGGCTTTTTTATTTCTTTGTTTTTTAAGGTACAGTTTTCTCAGATTTTTCCACTTGTTATCGCATTGTGTTGCTGTTTTATTTATAGCAGTGTTTTTCAAATGTTTTGAAATTGCTTGCCATACTTTTTCCTTCATTATTGTAGTTGAAGAAAACATATGTTTATTTTTTTCAAAGGCGTCGATAAGCACTAGTACGTGATTTTTTGGCCATCATTCTGTATCTGCTGACACAAATTAGATATGTTATAATCTATCAGGAATGAATAATGACATTTGTTTTATTTTATTTTGAAAAGTCAACTACTTTAATTAAATTATGTGTTAAATGACTAATTTTACTTACTTGGACTATTTAATGCCTCGTCTTCGTACATTTCAGTAATAGATTTGTCTAAAAATTACAAGACAAAATTATTCCAATCAATAAACTATACATTTCAATTTGAATATCTTAACAACTTTATTAGTGTGAAGTATTATATAAGTATATATTCAATAAAATAATAGGAACATTCAATTACCTAGTTCTAATACTGCTTTAGCACTATCATTGTTTGGTACATCATCATTAGCAGTATGTTCTAGAAACAAAATATAAATACATTGTTATATTAAATGTAAGTACCACACTTGTTTACATAAATATGATTAAGTCATAAAAATAGTAGATACACTTTATAAATAAAGGGGTCATAAATAGATATTCTAGCATTTCAAAGGCTAGAGAAAAAAATTAAGTGACCCCCCAACATTTTTTTCTGGCTATGGCACTAATTTAAATAAAGTTTATCCTACACTTTTTAAAAGATCAGAATTTATTCCATTACATAAAAAGGTGAGAAAAAAGATTGTAACAATTACCACTAGCTATTCTTATTGAGGAGATGTTAATTGTTAATTTTAGATTCTAAACGGAGTGATAAATGCATTGATTTTACAATGATAATACCTGTGTTTTTTTTTGTTTTTTTATTATTTTTTTAAGCTATTGCATAGCTTTTATCGCAGGTCTGGTGTAGTGACTGTAATCTTTAAATTATATTTGGTATGCAGGCATTAATTAATAATTTGAACGAGTAGTTTTTCAGTTATTAAAATGTTTGTACTAAGGATACATTTTTTAAAAATGGTCTCATTAAAACATTACATTTGTTAACATGGAACTAAATATATTATTACGATTAATCTATTATTACCTATGTATTCGTCATCTATCCCCAAAGTTGTATCAAACAAAGAACCTGTGCCTGGTTTCGATGTATTGTTTTTGAGTATATGTAAAAGATATTTGTTTAACTGTTCTGCATCTAATATAGAAAAATAACAATTTTGTACATTAAATCTTCGTTAATTAATCTAATCTTATGATA